TGACTGGCATGAGGAGCAGGCAGCAAATGCTCATGGCCAGTGCTGTGGGACCTCGGAGCCTCTAAAGATAGGGGCTGGGATGGCATTTGCTCTGTGGACCTGCCAACCACCTAATGCCTGCCTATGGTAAAGGCAAGATGGACCATAGGCCTTGGAGAAAAGCGTCCTCAGGCTTCCAAACTTTGAAGCCTCAGCACTTTCTGCGTTAACATTAAACTCTTTGGAAAGAAACTAAATCATAAAAAAGTGGAAAGGAATCTGCCGTCTGTCCACTCCTCCTCCACTTCTCCCCCACCCTGTCACCAAATGAAATCATTGCACCTTGACCTGGTGTGTAGCAAGGGGAGGGAGTTGGCAGCGGCTCCTGGTGCCCTCTGCCCTGCTCTCTAGCAACAGGCACCACTTACACTTTGGTCCCCAGCCCCTGCCCAGCCCTGGCCTAGGGCAGGGAAGACCTTTCTGTTTAATTTCTGAGGCAGAGAGAATGATCCCAGAGTTTGAAAATGAAAATGAAGCTTTTTTGCACTTTCATTCACATGCACTTTGGTGGGGTTACATTTCTGTATTTGCCTCTTGTGTGCGTGTGTGTTCTTTAAGAGAATCTTCTGGTTTAAGCTAAAGTGACTTTCAATGGAGAAAAGGTTACAAACAAAATGTGGTGTGATTTGTCAGTGTATTAAAACAACATAAATAAACTTGAACAACTGGATGATATGCAGCCAGAGTCTTGTCTTCTTTTCATGATAAAACATTCAGAAGCCCTAAATGAATACCAGCAGTGCCGTTACCGAACAGACTAAAGTGTTCTCTTTGCTGTGAGTTAGGGTTCCTAAAAAAATCTGATTCTTTGTTTTTGTTTCTGACCGGTAAGGGGAGCACAACAACCCTCAGCTCGGTGTCATCCGCACCATGTTCAGCCAGTGAGCGCACGGGCCATCCCTGTATAGGATCCGAACCCGCGGCCTCGGCGCTACCAGTGCCGCACTCTCTGGAGTGAGCCACGGGGCCGGCCATAGGAATCTGATTCTTTGATAGTCAACTTTGTACCCCACAAATATGTATAATAAATTATCTTTCAATTTAAAAAGTCTCTTGGGAGAGTGTGGTGCTGACAACACCAAGTCAAGGGTCAAGATCCTCTTACCGGTC